CTGATCAATTTATGGGATCAATTAAAAAATTCACAATTACCAGTTTACCAGTTTATTAGCAGGATTCAGCAGGAAAGAAAATTCGAAATGGAGGTTTTTTGATCAATTGAAGCTCTTGTAGGCTTATGTATTGGTCATTAGGTCAACATTACATCATTTTTTATTTCACATTATATATTAAGATCATTATAGTTTACTTACAAATTTATTACAAAAAGAAAGAAAGAAAAACATAAGAAAAATTCGAAATTATAGGTACAAAGGTTGGAAAATGGTTTTTAGGTTAGTAAAAATAAAGTTATGGGTATTATGAGGTTAGAATATGAAAGAACAACATTATATTATACTATGACAATTTTAATCTTCAAGGTTGATAAGTAGAAACAGAAGTTATTAGGGAAAAGGCACTTTTTCGAAGTTGGTAAACAAGAGGTACACGTGTAGTTTGGTTGTGTAATAGTGGTAGTGATGGAATTTAAGGTTGCCAAGAGGATTTTTCGGGATTTTTAAGGTTATAGATGATGATGTCATATTACAAAAGAAAGAAAAAGAGAGTAGTAGCTGTGAAAAGTGAAGAAAATGGGTGAAATTCGTGGAAAATGGAGGTTTTCAGCTAATTACATATGTCAAATGACGTCAGAATAGGTTGGTAGATGGCTCATTCAACGCAGCAGAGTGGATTACATAATGTACAAACTTTAAATCATTAGTAATGGAGGTGTGTGTAAAAAGTTATAAGGCAAATAAAGAATTGGTGTGAATCTCGAATTTACAGTCACAAGTCACATGTAACACTAAAAACTTTAACTTCACAACTCAATATCTTACTCATCACTCATCAGAAGTAGGTCATGTAGGTGTCAGAAATGATCAGTAACACGTGGGCTACAAGATGCACTTTAGTAATCAAAAATTGGAGCACATCTGAAAAAATTCGTAATCTCAAAAATTGGTTTTCAGCTAGTTTACAAGGAAAAAATCACCTGTATTCATCATAAGAAGTGCTGTACATCATATTATTGCGTCATTGATCACTTTTAGCTGTGAAAATTACATCATTTATTAGTAACAAAATCATTACATTGCGTCATCATAGGGTTTTTAGGGAATTTTGGGCGGATTTGATTGGTTTTGAGGCTGTTGACCATTGTAAAAGTTCTAGTACATTGTTATATATACTTTGAGAGGGTTTTGGGACTGTTGTTCCCCTTTTTTTCTTTATCATTTACGCCATTATTATTTTGTTTATCATTATAAACTTATTTTAATAGTACCTGGTCACTTAAATAGGCCCTTTATTACAATTATAAAGAGAAATTTACTTTAGTTTTATAGTCATAAAGACTTATTGGGAATAATATCAATCAGATATTGCTTATTTCTTTTAGTTATCAATTGGGAATAACACTATAGCAGTGTTGATAGTAATACAAAGTGTGCTTTTGAAGTTAAATTACGTGTGAAGATATATTTCTCTGGTGCCTTATCAGTACTCAATACAACAGAGCTCTTTCTGATTGTGTTGTTTTAGAAGAGCAGTCCTTAGACAACTTCTACTAGTCATTTTATTAGTGGATTATCCTCTTCCAGCTCTGTATAACCCTTGTTGGGTTATAAGTTCTACAACGTAAGATCAGTTTTTGTCACCTACACCTCCTTAGCCTCACTCAGATGGCAGACCCAAAACATTGTACTTAAAGAATGTGAGTTGTACTTAAAGAACGTGAGTATAAAGATTGAAAATATTAGCAAAGGTGAATGTGAATGCGAGGTGAACAAGAATAAAAGAAGAGTTTCATGGAAAGACATTGAAGCGGAGGATAAACGTTGTCTGGAGAATGATGATAGGTGAACTCCAACATCAGATCTTTTGTTGCCATCGACGGAATGACTTTTCAGATGATCTCAGGCACATTGCCTAAACAGGCATAGTCTAGAACCTGTGTAGAAGGGACGGTCAGATCAATGACGTGAGCCGCACATGCCAATTTGGAAACATACTTGTACAATGAAGCGGTTGGACACGGGATCTTTGGCACCAACAGTGCCATAGATCATCATGGTTGTTCCCGTGTTGATCTGCGTCCACTCTAAAGCTGGCAGAGTCATGTATCCAAAAACACATGTGTTGGTAAACTCCAAGACATGTTCTTGCTGTGTCAGAAATGGATGTAATCAAAGAGTGTCAGCAACACATTCAATCACGAAAGAAGAAGGTAGAGTAGGCTGACAACTGGATCATAGAACTCGTGGTTGAGATTGACAGTAAGATTCCATAATCCTCCGCAATTCTCTACGTCATCAAAATGGAAATCCAGCACCTTGCCAATGCCATTAATCAATGTCTTGCCTGCAACAGCTGCAGGAGGCAGGTGATCAAATCCCAGGAAAGTTTGGGTGTCGCATCCAAAGCTCATCATCGCTTCACCTGAGTTGGGATCCTGGCTGAAGGGACCGGCAAGTTGATAAGTCCTGTTTGCGCGGAGACAAAGAGGATGGGGGACATGTCCTAGAGCCCTGATTGCTTCTGGTAGTTCATTTTCCAGGACGATGTCGGTTTGGTTGGAGTACCATGCAATGAAATCGTTCCCCACCACGCGTATAGCCTTCCAAAGCGAAAAGAATGTGTTTCATGGGTCAATATTCGACGCAAGGCTATGGAAAGAAGGACGAGGAGAGGGGGGATGAGATAGAAAATCAGGAGCCTTCACTTTAGTGGGCGCGGTCACGATGGCGGTAATCATTGCTGCATAAATCATGACGGATGTGATTGCAAATGGAGATTGGCCATACCCCATCAGTCAGTCCTGCCTGGGGTATAAATGGAGTAGGCGACTTGGTGAATAAACCAAACACTTGGTAGGGGTCCGTCCTCATGACCGTTTTTGCCGGTGTTGGCAGGGACATAACCCCGCTCCAAGCTCAGCAAGACCCTGAGAACCATGGACTCACCTGGAGATAGGAATCAGGTGTTGCAGTGGGGTCCTCCAATGCAAGTTACGACAGGGGTACAGCAGGGTTATTGATCAAAGAAACCCATTGTCGAAAAAGTGGGTTATCCTAATGGGCTCCTTGAATATCCTCAGTTAGACTATTCACTTGGATGACAACACCTGCCTGGGCGGCCATCCGCAGTATTATAGTATTTGGGTAAATACTTCCAAGTCTTGTTTGCCATTGAAGCCTCGGAAGGTAGGACCCCAGGGTTTTTTTCTTTGACTTGTGCTTCCAGAGACATTTGCGATGATATTCTACAATTATCATCGCCCCCCCGGATAAGCTGAACTGAGAGCATATTGCATATCAAAATTTCCGCCCAGACCATTGTATAGGATTTGTAATTACTCTCACAACAAACAAAAGGTTTGCCAATCCCAGTAATGGTAAAGTAATTGATTAAGGTTATCAAATCCTATCATACAACAAAATTTTCTTGTATGATAGGATTTGAATAGGATGAGCATCAATGGAAATGATGCTCATGACTCTACATTAAAGTGATCCCTGTGGATCACTTTCATTGAGATTTAAGTTGGAGGAGTTCTATGGAAAGTGATGTGTCTTCCCTTTGGGTTTTGGCTGCTTGCTGCCAAACCTATCATATACCATTCTAACCAACAAACAAGCCTAAAAATATCATAGTGGTTGAAAGAGTATGTTATCATATTGTCTTTGAAGTAGTTGAATTTGTTTTGACTGACTGACAATTTGTCTTTGGTGTGTTTCCAGTGGAAATTTATAATATGCTTGCTTGAAAAGACAATTGTTCAACACTTCTTGATTGCTCATATCAACAAGTGTCAAATGTGGAATTAAAACTTGAATTGCAATTAGAGTTTTAATTTTTCTAACAAACAAACAAGCCTAAAAATATCATAGTGGTTGAAAGAGTATGTTATCATATTGTCTTTGAATTAGTTGAATTTGTTTTGACTGACTGACAATTTGTCTTTGGTGTGTTTCCAGTGGAAATTTATAATATGCTTGCTTGAAAAGACAATTTTTCAACACTTGTTGATTGTTCATATCAACAAGTGTCAAATGTGGAATTAAAACTTGAATTGCAATTAGAGTTTCAATTTACTGATATATATTTGGGGGTGGAGTACGGGCCATGATACTTTTTAATACAAGACAAGTTTCTTTTCTTATTAATTTTCTTCTTTTTTGGGATTCAGCTTCTTCAAAGTGTTTTATTTGCCTACCTAGGTTAAATAATAAACAATCTTTGCCTTACATTGTAGTCAACAATTTAAGGCAAATTCAAAGGCAAATGAATGTCTACAATGTCAAGCAAAGACATGAGTGTAAGTATGTCACTGCTGCAGATATAATTGAGGTCTCCACCATCACAGATTACTTTGTAATGCCAAATAAAAACAACAAAGAAGAAACCTTGATTTATGAACAATGACCAAGTATAAAAGTTGTGCATACTTCAAGTTGTATAAAGGCTATTGATGATACCCAACTTCAAAACATTCAGTGTGGTCTTAGACAAGCTAGGCTCCAGATTTCCTGCTGAATTTATGAATCATGTGAATAGTATGGGAGTCAAACCCAGGCACATGTCATTGTTTCTCATAGTCAAGAGCTTATACCACTAAGCCATGACAGGTTGCATGGTATCTGATGGACACCATAAGATATAGGGAATTGAAGATCATATTTGTCACTTTTGGCTTTGGTCAAAAAACATATCAACCGATGTAAAGAATGTGGATTATGCACATTGGGTAAGAATGCACATAATTCACCACATTAGTTAACAGCATTATCAAACATATCATAACATTTAATCCCAAAGCCACTTCGCTTACAAAACTTGACAAAATACACAAGCATCCCCTGTATCCCCCATAAAATGGTTTTGGCCTTTGCTCCAAAATCAACCGGAAACTTGTGTTGCAGGGTCATTTCCATTTTCCCAACATCTTCCATCATGATACATGCCTTTCAACATTGATTTTCATCCGCTTGCAATACCCTTGACCAGTCCATTCTACACAGCGCGGAATTTCAACATTTCACCACCTGCACATTTTTCCCGATTGTGTCAAATTAACAAGTCACCGTAATATCAAACTATATTGAGAACTGCTATCATACAACACCTCATTTTCCAATGGTATTGGAATGCATCACACCGTCAGCTCAATCACTGGAAAGCGATCAATACTCACACTCATACACCACTCCTCCACAAGACATGCGGCAATTTATCAAGGACAGCATTGACCATCAACACAGAAATCATAGTCACAAGATATCTGCCATTTCATGTGGTGATTTTCTGCATTTCAATCACCGCGTATACAACTCAGGAGACCTCCATCAGAAACTTACCTAGTAAACACCAAAAGGCACGCATTGGTGTACATGTCCACTCTCGTGAAAGATGTAGGTGAGATGTGACAGGCTTCGAAATAGACTTCTCGAAGGAAAGAATTTGAATCACTCCAAATTCTAAGAACCTCACATCTCACAATTCATCGACTCACATCAGCTACTAGCTTTAGCTCTTTACGGTTATCAACGTTAGATCATAAGTGTCAAAAACATTTTTGCTTATCAAATCAAGAAACAACAATCTTCAAAATGGCATTAAGAGATCAAATAAACCAAGCAACCAACAACGTACAACGACGATTGACAAGAGCAGAGGCAGCAGCAACAGGAGCACGTTTAGAAGAACGACTACCAACACCTAGAAGAGAAAGAAGACAAGAAGATCAAAGAGAAAACGAAGAAGAAGAAGATAGAAGAGATGAAGAATCACATGTACCACAACGAGAACGAAATCGTATGCCAAGCGTTAACGAGGAAGAAGAGACAGAGGAATGGGGCGGTATCGGGGAAGTCGGCGAGGAAATGGAGATAAAAAATGAAGAGGAGAATCAGAGGGACATTCAAGAGATGAACGAAAGATTGAAAAATGGTAAGTTACTGACCTAGAAAGAAGATCAAGAAGGGTCTTCTTGATTCCTCCACCTTTTTTCTTCTCAAATTCTTCTTCAAATTCCTCTTCTCTACATCCTTCCCCATTCTTTTCAAATTCCTCTCTTTCTCTCTATATCCTTCCCCCTTTTTCTTTCAACTCCTTCTCTTTTCTATAAATTACCCTTTTTTAGCAACATCGATAAAACCGATTGAATTGGGAGGAGACGTAAAGCCTGGCCCGGCTACGAATAGGTGCCCAGCCAGAGTCGGCTTACAGTAGACATCAAAGATAGCCTGGCCCGGCCACGAATAGGAGCCCAGCCTAGATCGGCTAACAATAGATTGATCAGCCTGGTCTGGCATAAAGAATAAGACCCAGCCAAAAACGGGCTCACAATACGTAACCCAAAAGATACCCACCAAAAGAATAAGGAGAACAAACAAAACTAATCGAACCGAATTGGATTTATTCAACAGAGGCGAAACGCGAAACTTTGGTGGAGTTAATCCAAGAAGCGTTTGACAGAGACGACGTAAACGACGCAAAACGCCTAACCGATAAACTTCATCAGTTAGAAGAGAAAATGACGTCGAAAGGGAAAGACAAAACTTACGTGTTTGACGAAGAGTCATCAATGTCGCCGAGACCCCAAAGAGAAACGATCTATCGACGTCAACAAGACTTGCCCGCACCAAGTATAACATTTGTGGGAGAAAAACGAGCCGAAGGCGCAGAAGTCGAGAAAGAGAAAACAACTGAAACGGAGTGGTTTCACGGCTGTTCAACCGAGAACGAATCAAACAAAGCGAAAGCACTGTTAGCTACGAAAAAAGGATCGTTAACGTTGTCTAACGGAGATATGATCCATAACAGAAGGGTGTTCAGAAACGGGAAAGCCAAAATGGCAGACGCACTCACCCCACTCTCTCCGCACCTAACGGCCAAGTTAAAAGCCTTAAAATCATTCATCCCCTTACCAGTGTTCGACGAAGACTTCTTATTGAGAGATCAAAGAGCATGGTCATTACTTCCGCCAAAGTCCGAAGAGAAGTTAGAGAAAGAAAAGCGGATGTACGGGGGAGAAGGACCGATAGAGGAACCTACGATGAATTTTGAGGCGTGGAGCGATTGTATGGAGTTGATGTGTGTACATTTGAGGTCTTTAGACTGGGAACCAGTAGCAGAACGGTTCGAAAGTCATATGGTCATAGTAAAGCAGATTAGAAAGGACTTCGGGTGGATGGTGGCTTTAAGATATTGCAGATTGGTTAGGCAAGGCGTGATGAGAGAAACGATAGACGGTTCATTAGGAAATTGGGCAGAGCTTCAAGACCACCTGTTGGCTCAGGCAAAGACCAAAGCTGAAAGCTTTAACGAGAGGGCTTATAAGACCAACCCTTACGCCGAAGGAGGTCCTAAATCGACGATCTGTCCGTATACAAATTTACCAAAACAGGTCGGTAAGTCGTCAGTAACTATCCCGGCGCAGTCTTCAACAGCAACAGCACCAACAGCACCAGTCAACCGACATGCAAGTACGAGCGCATATCGAGGAAACGGAAATTGGAGACGAAACCAAAGTTCTTATTGAGATAGTACTTATCGAGATAGAGAACCAAGAGAGCCAAAAGGACCGAGATGGGGAGACGAAAAAAGGAAAGAGAGAAGCAGAAGTCCCGAGAGACGCTACGGGAAAAGAGGGCGTGACGAGAAGTGGAAACGACAGTGAGCTTGCGAGTCAAGTACAAAAATGAAATGCAGTCCTTAAAGGGAACTTGACCTACTTACTGTCCCACTTGAATTGCCTTTGTTCCTTGCCCCATGACCAAGTTGTCAACCAATCTCCCCCCCTCCCTTGTCCCTTTGCCACGAAGCGGTGAGGAAATCGTCACCATCACCAACAAGTGAAGTAAGTCACGACCAAACAGATGAAAGTGGCTTAAGTCGAAGAAGATGGCCGTCCAAG